CCTCGGCCGTCGGTATCCCCGGGGGGGGCTGGGAGGGGGCTCCGTGGGGAAAACTCCGTGGACCACAGGGCAGCGGTGCCACCCTGAAGCGACCCGCAAGCTTGGCGTTGTACCGGCTGCCCCGTGGCTCCGCATCCCGTTTGTAGGACAGAAGAATCCACTTAATTGGGGCACCGCGGTGGCCGCGCCGATGAACAGCTGGGCTCTGGTGGCAGCTCGGTTTTGTTCGGGAAGCGGCGAAAAGATTGAGGCTGTCACAAAGCGCCTTGTCGCATAGCCGTGATGCATGGCAGGCCTCCCGCTCCTCGCTCCCTCTTTTATTAAATAAATCTTTAATTAGGTCAACAGCTACCGGCGGAGAGAGGAGCGCAGGGTGTCCTCTGCTCCGCTTTTGCCGTGGCAGCGGGTTGTGGGTGCTCGTTGCCGGCTCCCGGCAGTTTACTGTTTTTCCCCCTGGGTTTTTCCTGCGGGTGATGCGATCCTGGAAAAGTGCTTGAGATGAAGGGAAGCGCGAGCTCGTGTGCCCTGGGAGAAGCAGAGCCGTGCGCCACGGGTGCAGGGCCCCCTCCCCAAAGCTGCAGAGATTAGGGGAAATGATTGGGAACAACAGGGCCACCGTGCTGGCCGAGGTCAGCCCCTGCACCCCGTGATCCCAGGGGATCGGGGCCAGCTCTGCCCCGGAGCCCCCCAGCAGCTCCCAGCCAACGATGCTGTGATGGAGCTGAGCCTGAGCAACCGTTGTGGGGACATCGCTGCTGGTGGGGGTGACGTTTTTCCCTCCCCCCCATCCAGGACCTCCCTTCATCGTTTCCCCTCCGGAAAACATCACGGTTAACATCTCCCAGGATGCGCTCTTCACCTGTCAGGCCGAGGCGTACCCCGGGAACCTCACCTACCTGTGGTACTGGGAGGAGGAGAACGTCTACTTCAAGAAGTGAGTTTGCAGCCAGCAAAGTGACACGTCCTCATCCCGCTCCCAAATTCTCCTGGGAACCCCAACGGGGAACCCCCGGCTCTTCTCGTGAGCCTCCTCCCTTCTTCTCTTACAGCGACCTGAAGTTGAGGGTGCGGATCCTGATTGACGGGACGCTGATCATTTTCCGTGTCAAGCCAGAGGATGCCGGAAAATACACCTGTATCCCCAGCAACAGCCTGGGCCGCTCGCCATCAGCCTCTGCCTACCTGACGGTGCAGTGTGAGTGCGGGCAGCGGGGCCTGATCCTGAGGGATGGGGCTGGGATTGATAATTCCCAGCTTTGAGGCAGAGCCCAGAGGCTCTGTTTTCCCGGGATGATACAGCAGCCTTTGGACGAGCACGCGATCATCCTCAGCGAAAGGCTGAGAGCATCCCGCTTGTAGGGTGTGAGCAACAAGAAAGTAAATAGCTTGAGCATCCTGGGTAGCACCGGTGTCCACTTTTGATAGAAGCGGTTTTTGGCTAGGTGAGCATCTTCCTGCACGCTGTCCTCATCGGCTGCATCGCGTCGGGCAGGGAAACATCGGATCAGGGCTCTCGGTCTCAACTACCCGCTTGTATTTTTTTGGTATCTATTATGGGGGCTTGTTCCCGCGGCGTGGTTTTTCTGTGAGCTCGATAGCTTTGCGTGTCATATTTTTCAGGCTGTAACTGATCTAAACAAGCGGAGGAGAAGGGGCTGTAGCAGGAGCGTTGCTTCCCACGCTTGTTCTCTCGGGCTCCCCGGGCGGTAATGGGTAGTGTGCCACCGGCGTCCTGTGGCATTCGACAGTAATGGCCTCAATTGCTGCCGCTCGCAATTGCAATATTGCTCTGCTCTAAAAGACTGTAGTGGTTTTATTTTATAATGACAGACAGGCTTGAGCAAACTGGGCTTGTGATTTGGGTTTTTGAAGGCTGCCTTGTTGCTGCTGCCTGTAGATCCCCACCGCTGGTTGGTGGGAAACCCCACGCCGGTGGGGAGCTGCTGTGAGAAGGGCTGGTAAGTCCGATCGGCTCCCTACAGGGATGGATGAAGGGGTAAGGGGACAGTGCGACCGGAGCCGTGCCCGGGCAGAGGTGCGATTTCGGGGCTTGGATGTGCCCGACTGGGCGGCTCTTGGGGAAAGCGTGCAGCCTTAGGCCATTAAATCTGCCCTGCTGCTAATCCAGGACCGCTCGTCAAGGCGGATAGCTGTTAAAAATAGCTCTAACGGCAAGAAAAACGACGTTTGGACAATCAGCCGTTCAGATGACCCAGCCAGGCTTTGGCACGAGGAGATACGCTTGGTTTTTTGTGCTGCAGACCCCTTTCCTCCAGAGCAAACCTTGACATCTGGACCGGGGCTGATGCCTCGGGAGGGAGGCTGCCCGCCCGCCGAAGCAGACGGGGGCCGGG